GACGTCAGGGGGGGCGGGGCGGAGAGGCTCAGTCCAAAATGTCCGTCTCGAAGGGAACCAGGTGGTAATAGGACAGATTGGTGACATAAGCGGCGGGGTCGTCAGCATCATCCAGCTCCGAGGTGAAGTCGCTGCCGTTCTCAAACCTGCAATCGGAGAACACAGAGGTGAGGCCCGGCGAGCCCAGCGCGGGCCGAGGACCTGACACAGCAGGCCGGGGCGTGGGTCCTGTCACGGCCTGTGGGCGCTCTGCTCGCTCCGCCCCGGGGACGCCACCCCCGCTTGCCCAACCAACACGGAGGAGGCTGCATCCGTCCCCTCTTTCATGGGGTGACGCCTTTTCTCCCTCTCGGCTGGTGCAGGGCCTGCCTTGTGGCAGGCACCGCGACAGTAGCAGAGATGCGTTGGTCCGGGCTGCAGCCCGACTGCGGCTGGGACAGTACACGCGTGACAAGGGGACTACGAGGCCACCAAGGTCACGGAGGAAGGCTCCTGCCTGCGGGCAAGGCTTCATCGGGGTGCGCCTGCCTGGGACTCTGAGGGACCCTTTGGTTGTGGGGAGTGGGAACTTAGGGGAGGCTATGTACCCCAAATGTAAGGGGCATAACCCCCTCCTGACACTGATCCCCCATGAACTGGAACAGTTTCCATTCCCTGTCCAAACCAGATGCGGCCTCCGATGCAGGAAAAAGAGACTCAAAAATTTTAAAAATGTGTGAGAAAGAAGCGCATGAAGGACATTCTCCCCAGGAATGGAAACCGAGAGCTGCTCATGCCATTTCCATTTTCCTCAACCTACAGATCAGTCCAAACAGGGTAGGACGAAAAAGGGGGGGAAGGCAGAGATGCGCCCCCACACTGAGTGCACTGTGCCGGATCCAGCTGACCCCTGACAGTGGGGTCACGAGCAGGCTTCCTCTAGAGGCTACTGCAAATTAAAAGGAGAGGAGGAGGGGATGGCAGCTTTAAAATGTTTGGATAGAAAAGGCCGCAGAAGAGGGTTTTCCTTTAGCCACAGGAGGCCTGGCATCTGCCTGTGCTCACCACCCGGGTAGCTCCAGCTGTGCACAGAGCTGTGCGCAGCCTGTAGGCAGCTGTGTCTCTTGGAGACTAACACTCCAACTTCTTCTTAGAGTATTAAACCTCTTCTTCCAAACCAGTGTTGGAAGGAACTAAAGGAGGATGCAGGCGTGACAGCAAGGTTCAGGCAGCTTGAGTGCCACCGAAGACAACTGGGTTAGTAAGGAACTAAGGGGGGATGCAGGCGTGACAGCAAGGTTCAGGCAGCTTGAGTGCCACCGAAGACAACTGGGTTAGTGCACAAGGCATCCTTCCGTGACCTCCCGTCCTGTCACCCCTCACCTGCCTGACAGCCCATGGAGTGTTAAAACAGATTGCTCTCAAAAGACACACTGCAGCCAGACCCAGCTCCGGCCACCAGAGAAAACCCAGCAAGCCTGAGTCTGGAATCTCCTCTAAACGCTCCCCTGAGCCACTCCAGGGCTCTTCTGGGATCACAGAGACTTTCCCTTATGCTCTCTCCCTGGAGCAGGTGGCCTCGTGTTCAAGACTTGCCACTCCTACCTGTGCAGAGCCCTGGCCCAGCTGAGATAGCCATGCCTCTGCTCTGTCTTGCTTTTCTCTCTGTGTTTCTCCTTAGCTCAAAACTCTCGAGGCCTCTCAGAGACAGAAAATACTGTGGTGTCAGAGCGAGGCCCCTGCAGCAACTGGTAATGAGCAAGGCTCTCCTTCTGTCTTCACCCAGACATTCCCTGGCCATGAAGCTAAGGGACCTCTCTTTCCCTTCATCCATTAACGCTCATCACCCCTGCACCTCCACGGTGCCAGCCTGTGAGCATGGGAATGAACAAGTGGACTATATATGGTGGGAGCGACACCACAGGCCTCAGGGCAAGGCACACAGTGGGGTGAGGCAGGTCCAGAGGGCCCCGCCCCTTATACCACCTTCTCATTGAAGGACTCCTCACTGTCCACCCAAGAGACACTCTGAGAGCTGAGGAAGTGGGGGCTGCTACCATGGGCCTGACAGGGATCCCCTGTGCTTGGTCACAGAGCAGGGTTCCTGCAGAGGAGGCTTGAGCCCCTGCTGGAGCCCAGGCCCACCCTGGGTCACAGTGTCTATTGCAGTGACTGGCCTAGATGTGGGTCTTGGCATGTGCTTTTATCTGCTTCTGTGGGGGTCTAAATGGGCAGGGCGGGACTTGAGGCCCCCTGACACCTCATCATCCCCAGGCTGTGCTGCTCACAGGCCACAGGGGGGCTCCTGAGCTGGGCATGTCACTTGTCATCTGTGGTCTTCAAAACGAGGTTAAATCACTTCCTGAGCTCACACAACCAAGAAGCCTGGATTTGGCCTCAACAGGAAACAGAAGCCAGTTGTGACTTCCCCTCACACTGTCTGGCGACCCTGCTACCCAACAATTAGCGAGGAGATGACTAAATGAGAGCTAAGGATGCAGGTGGCTGTGCCTCACGGTGTCCCAGGTGTTGGGGCTTCTAGAGCAGTATTACTGTTGGGGGCTTCTAGAGCTGTATTACTGTTAAAAGTTCTCTTATCACAGGTGGAGAGAACAGAGAGGCAGTGGCATCTTTNTCCTGCAGAGGAGGCTTGAGCCCCTGCTGGAGCCCAGGCCCACCCTGGGTCACAGTGTCTATTGCAGTGACTGGCCTAGATGTGGGTCTTGGCATGTGCTTTTATCTGCTTCTGTGGGGGTCTAAATGGGCAGGGCGGGACTTGAGACCCCCTGACACCTCATCATCCCCAGGCTGTGCTGCTCACAGGCCACAGGGGGGCTCCTGAGCTGGGCATGTCACTTGTCATCTGTGGTCTTCAAAACGAGGTTAAATCACTTCCTGAGCTCACACAACCAAGAAGCCTGGATTTGGCCTCAACAGGAAACAGAAGCCAGTTGTGACTTCCCCTCACACTGTCTGGGGACCCTGCTACCCAACAATTAGCGAGGAGATGACTAAATGAGAGCTAAGGATGAAGGTGGCTGTGCCTCACGGTGTCCCAGGTGTTGGGGCTTCTACAGCAGTATTACTGTTGGGGGCTTCTAGAGCAGTATTACTGTTAAAAGTTCTCTTATCACAGGTGGAGAGAACAGAGAGGCAGTGGCATCTTTGGCTCCAGTATCAGACACATCCTTCACTCCAGAGCAGGGCTGCTGGCCAGGCTGTGCCCATGAGCCACAGGGACATGAGGCCAGTGTGTGTACAACACCTCCCCTGTCCTAGGAGACCAGGCCCCTGAGTGTGGAGGCACGTGGCCCCCCCCAGCACAGGGTGCTGGGCTAGAGACAGTAGAAACAAGGCCTTGCGACATCTTCTAAATGCCTCCTCACAGCTAGCGACCTGGTCTTCCCACAAGGTTTACAAATCAAGCTCTCACCAAACTCTAGAAAAAGCAAACTTTAAAAATAAGTATCCAGATACTGGCAAGGGTTGCTGGGTGCTTCTGGGCACATCCACTTCCTACCTGAAGAGCCGGCATGGGCAGGGAGCCCAGCATGGCCCGTTCCTCCTATAAAACTACATTCAGATCAATGTACTTACAGATGCTCAGTCGGATCCATGCCCAGGTGTTGGTCTTTCCCATTGGGTATACTGTTGTCGATAACTATTGTTTCTGTATTTGCCAAACAAAATCCATTGGACCTCATTATTTCTGGAAACCAAAGCAATAAGGTAAGTATTCGGAAGAGTTGGAGGTTTTGAAGTTTGGGGCTTATACCAATCTCCCTACTTTCCCCTCCACCCATAGATCCCTTTCTCCTCCACACTTCAAGATACTCGCTGCTCCAGGGGACCCACTCAGGAGCTCTGCCCTGCAGACTCAGGGGCAAAGGCCTGCAACCCCGTGTGGGTTGAGAGGTGTGTCTCTCCCCACAGAAAGATGCTGGGTGCTCTCCCCATGGGTTTCAAGGTGGGGTGGAAAGAAAGAGCACTGGGCTTACGGTCTCTGACTGAGACCGACCTATTGCGCAGAGACGTGACTCTGCACAGGTTACCCCTCCTCCTGGGCTGCTGTGAGGATCAAATGACATCAGTGTGTGTTTTAAACCAAATGGGTGACTTTCACTTTTTTGCTTAAATCTACATATAAATTGATTTTTTTACATTAAGCACAGACTTTGGTAATTGAGAAAAGCCACCAAATAAAAATGACTTCCTGTATCTATACTGATGGATGGCGTTAGCTTGTGTGGGCTAGGCCAGGTGCTCATTCCTGGCTGCAGGTCGTGTGACCAGCACTGGGGTTGGGAGCCTGGGCACTGCTGCTCAGCCCACAATGAGCTCCTGGGCCTGAGGACCCACTCTCCTCCACTGGAAAATTCCAAAATTGTATTAGATAATCTCCGAGGATCCTTCTAACTCCTGAACCATGAACCCCTGCATTCCATCACGTCATCCAGCCCACGTAAGCATAAGAAGCAAGAAGTGGCTTGCCTTTCTTCTACTACCTACAGTAGGCTTTGCTTAATGTCCTGAGGGACTGTGTTTCCATCCCTTCCCTCAGTAGGTGAACAGATCTGGGAGCACTACCAGCTCTCCCTGACATTGAAGTCCTGGGCAGCCAGCTCACCTCCCGATCTCGGCTCCTCCTCAGCTGAGCCCCCAGCTCAGGACCATGTCCTTTGTCAAGTCAGGCCCTCTATGGACCTCATCTTAAAAGTCACGCTTAAAACACACTCCAGATACCTGGTGCAGTCCAAGGGGTTATCATCTTGTCCGCAGTGTTATTTGGCATCTGATGCCTTTGTGGTTTGGGGGGTTGTTTTCTTCAATTTTTTCTTACAACTTACCATATTAAGATTAGTTTATTCCCGCATGTGGCTTTGCTTTTTTATAATTGAAATTGTCACTTCCTATTTCTAAGCATAGAAATGGTTCTCGGCTCTTTGAATGTCTTTCCATATGAAGACAATTAGGGAAAGTACACAAAAATGAAGAAAAATAGACGGTTTCCTCCTTGTTCCCATAGGATCAGAATGATGATTCATCAATCAGATTTGCTGAGTGATTGCTACAATTTCCACCTGACTTTCTGGAGAAGGAGCCGCTCAGGTTTCACGGGGTTCTTGAGCCTGTCCCCATCAGTCATGCCCCACGGGACGCCTGCTGGCCACCCCCCCTGCCTGCCTCCCGGCACCACCTGGGGGGCCTGCAGGTCCCCAGAGGGAACTCTGCTCACCACCGGGGCCCACTGCAGATCTAGGTGCACAAAGGGCAAAAAGAGGGGGCTTATTAAAGTTTGACTGAATAGGCAGACTCTGAAAATAGATTAAGATTCCTCCACTTCTCAACTTAAAATGTGTGACAGCACAAAATCACTTTAGTATTTCTATAACTCTGGCCCAAATCTGTCTATATCAAGAGGCAGAGAACACCGTGGGGACCCTCCATACAGCCCTCACCCCCCTTCTCCCTCCCCTTTGCCAAGGGATGGGGGGACCCAACAAATTAAATGGCACTGCTGCAAATCATTTCTGAACAAAATTATGAACAAGGGTTACCTTGCATACCCAATCTTTCTTAAATTTCAACTTTGGAGCTCTAGGATGTGGAAGCTTTACCAATCCCCCTCCCCCACATATATTTGCAACAGCATTGCTTAATTGTCTACCAAAAAAAAGCTTTTGTGTACATAAACATGGCTTAGCTGTTTGCAAGGCAGGCTGGGCCCTGGAGGACACTATGGTATGGCTGGTGCCTCCCACACGGACTGCACAGCCTCAGGCCCAGCCACAGAGAAGCCATGGTCAGACTTAAGGTGTTTTCACAAAAGATGGTCCCTGAGAAGCTCCAGTTCCTTCCTGGGTCCTTCTCTGCTCTCAGTCAGCTCCAGGACCTCGGATAAGCTAGGGCAGGCCAGGCTATGTGGCTGGCGGGTTTACAACAACCTTCGGAACATTCATTCCAAACTCTGGTTTGGAAAGGATGGTTTATTGAAAAGCAAATTGTCTTTTAACACATACACAAGTATCAGACCATGGCATACTTTAAATCTAGTGAAACATATGTGACTTTTAAATGTCTGTGCTAGTTGGAAATGTAGCACAGCTTCTGCAACTGTTTATATTTGGTCACTTAAAAAAAGTCTTATGTAGTACAAATTAGTGGCTGTCCAAAGTTTAAAAAGAGAAAAAAAAGCATTTAGCACCAGAAAGTCTCTAACTGTAGGGGCCACCAGTTTAAGCAGATCTTCTTGCCAACCCAGGTAGCTGTGTCCTTTTTCATCCATGTACACACACAACAGCAAATGCTTAACTGGGAGGAGTCCCACTGTGTCAGTTTGCACAGGAGGATGGTGTGGACTGTGGACTTGTACCTGCAAGGAAAAAGTGTCACTGAGACCCATGGTTATGGGACAATAAGGGAGGCTGAGGTGTAACAAGGTCCTTCGCTGTGTGCCTTCGACGACAGCATCAGCAAGTGTGGAATGTCTGCACTGTGCAAGGCTGAGTCCCCGGAGGGGCACTCTGAGGTGGGGCTGGTTCAGACTTCAGTTCTGCTACTTAGGTCTGGGCAGGTTATTCTGTGGCTCAGTTTCTTCATCTATAAAATGGGAGTAACAGTAGCCATCCTAAAGGCATGGGTGTAAATTAATGAGATGATATATGTAAAGAACCTCACAAATGTGTGGGGGCGTGCTCAGTAAACAGTCATTATTATGATCATTGTTAGCAATGTCTTCATATCTGTTATGATGTGAATAAAAAATAACTGAAAGAAATTTTATGAGTAAAGAAAAATTATAGCATCTGAAGCTTATCTTCACACATACTTAAGATGTGAATTTCTTAGAAGTCATTTTAGTACCTACAGCAAAAATCATGGACCAGTTTCACTACTTTATTCCATATATGACTGATTCCATGAAGCAGATCATATTCAAGCCGCTTTTTTGCATTCATATTTTTTACACAAAGAAGAGCCCTGCTTTCTTTTTTTTTTTTTTTGACTGGTATTGCAACCCTCCACATGGTGTTGTCTGCACCACGCTCAGCCAGTGAGTGCACTGGCCATCCCTATATAGGATCCGAACCTGTGGCCTCGGCGCTACCAGCACTGCACTCTCCCGAGTGAGCCACGGGGCCGGCCCAGAAGAGCCCTGCTTTTACTGTGTCTTATTTTTTTAAATTTTTGATTCTGAACTAATTTTAGAATGACGGGAAAGTTGCAAAAACAGTAGAGATAAAGTTCTCTCACCAGCTCCTCCTCAGGTTGACATGTCACATAACTATGGCACATTGGTCAAATCTAGGAAATTAACATTGGTACCACACTGTTCAGTAAACTCGAGACCTCCTTCACTCGAGGTTCACCAGGTTTTCCTCTTATGTCCCTTTTTTCTGTCCCGGCTCCAATCCAGAATCCCTTGCTGCACTAAGTTGCTGTGCGTCAGTCAGTCTTTCCTTGCCCCTCATGGCTGTAACAATTTTGAAGGTGGCCAGTGAGCTATCTTATTGAATGCCCCTCAGTTTGGACTTGTCTGAGGTTTCTGAGTGATCAGATCGAGGTGATGCAGGATTTTGGGCAGGAATCCCACAGCAATGGTGCATCTTCTTCAGTGAAGCATATCGGGGTGTGATGTTGACAGGTCCTAGGACTATGCTAGCCTGGACCACCTGTCTAAGGAGGCTTCTGCCAGGTGGCTCCACAGTGAGGTTACTGTCTTTCCCTTCGTAGTTAATAAATATCTTGGGGGAAATGCCTTGAGACTGTGCAAATCTGTTCCTCCTCACGCTTTCACCCACTAATCTTAGCATCTATCAGTCTATGAATATTTTTTGCAACAATGGCCACTGGGCATATTTGCCTAATGGTGAGCTTTCCCATTTCTTTAACTGCAGCTATAAGTCTTCATGTGCCCCACCAGCCACCGGCTCTTCACTTTGCTACTCCATTTATTCCTTTTTTCAGCAGACATTTAGTCTCAGCCCTGGAAGTGTTCAGAGTGTGCCTTTCTTCCCTTTCAAGTCCTCTCTCCATTATATTTTTAATGTACTCCAGCAACAGAACAAAACCCAAAGCAATGTCTTTTTATTAATTGGCTAACTGGGTTCTCCCTGTACAGTAAAAATTAAGGTTGACATTGTAGAGATGCCAGATTAAAGAAAAAGTAAGGTTATAATTCATTTCCAGGCTCCCTAAGCCTGAATGATCAGATTTTATGGCTGAAATC